GCGCCTCCCCGCCTAGGCTTTGGCTATAGGCCGGGGTCGGCGGATTTCATAGGCCACATCCAAGTTTCACCAAGACTAAGATTGCAAACTGCCAAAGAACCTCAATCTTGCTTCGTTCACTCGTCCTTCAGGATCGCTAAAGCCTTCATTCTTGGCTTTCTTCCTTGGAGTCGAGTGGTTGCTTGTTAGACACAAAATGTCAATACTGTAATTGATTAGTAATCTAGTTTTTCCTTTCAACATAGGTGCAGAATAGGCTCAGGGTGTAGTGCTGGCGGCCATTCTTATCCACAAAAACAAGGTAGATATCCCCGGCGTGGGCGCCTTGTAACCGCTTTCTCAACTCCACATTCCATTCCTGCACCGCAAGCTTTTCCACCACATCATACTGCCTCAGCTAATTCCAACCTGTTTGCCTCCTTGTTTACACAGTACTCAAACTTTAATACCATCATATGCAAACATGATACGATCGGGGTTTCTTTTTCTTTTTGGTCACCGCCAACTCCAGCTGCTTTGAGGGATGAGGGAGGTGTCCAGTCGCTCTACTCAACGCTTCTTGTTGAATTGCAGAAATCCTGAACTCAAACCGACCCGAAGGTAGGACAGTAGAGTCCTTAAAGTTCACGACATCCAGCAACGATTGCTTCTCCTTTCCCTTCTTCTTTGTTTTGGCCGGTTCCTGCACCACAGTGTGAAACAGGAGGGAACCAATCATGTGACACAGTACTGACAGATTCAACCTTTCATGTCACCCAAACTCGAAATGACCAGGCCTCTTCCTGCTCCTCCTTCACTCTAGAGCTTGCAGAGGCTTGGACCTGGGAGCCTCGGGTGGCCATGGAGGGCACATCACAAGAAGGGAGTTATAGTTCAATCACGTGAGTTCCAACTTGCCGCCCAGTGGCATTTGGAACGGACCCGGCGCAAAGGGACATCAGGCGTAGGCTTCCGCTTCCCCTGGGAGCCAGAAGGGTCTTCCATCTCCTTGTCCAGTGCCTTCTCAATAGAGTCCACCTGCAATGCTAAGGAACCCAAACATGCATAAATGTAAAAGTGAAATTATGGCACGCACGAAACCCATAATATAAAAATACAAAACTCTTATGCTCAAAAAGGCCACCCAGTTGAACATCTCGGGGATGGTAGCTTGCTTCATTTTCTTCAATTTGCGTAAAAGGCGAGCAAACCATGGAGTGAACGGGGTCGAGGTTCTTGTTTTTGTCCACCTCTTGATGTTGGACTTCGGGTATTCAATGCGAATGTGAATTTTGCCAGCCTTGCCATCCTCTTTATCGTTTTCCTCACTTTCATCTTCGCGCTTCACTTTCCCTTCATCAGCTAATTCCTCTTCACTGTCTGAAGAGCTGCTGCTGCTGCTGTCGCTGCTGCTGTGATGGCTGCTGCTTGCATCAGATTCACTGCTGGAATCAGCGAGCTTTTCTCCTTGACCCCCTTCATCTTCATTCTTCTCTTCAACTTCTCCGTCCTTCACTTCTACATTTGTGGCCACCTCTGGTTTACCTTTGGCCTCATCTTCCAAAACAGCTTCCTTTGCTGCCTCATCACACTCATCCACTTGTGTGTTTATGTCCTTGTTTTCATTTCCTTCGCCTGTGCAATCCTCTTCCTCTTCCTGATCTGATTCTTCCGTGTGGTGTTCACTGTCAGACATGTCTGAATCCTGATCTTTCTCTTCATCCTGTTTGGTCTCCTCCTTGTCTCGCTCTTCCTCTTCCTTTGCACCATCACGACAGTCTCCAACTTCACCACCCTCTTCATCCTGTCGGATTGTGTCACTGTTCTTGTCCATTGCTGTTGTCTCCTTGTCATCTTGATGGTCATCCATGTCTGAGTCATCCTGCTCTGCTTCCTCTTCCTCTCCCTCTGAGTTGTGTTCCTTTGCCTGTTTCTCCTCATTTGATTCTTCACCATCATCCTCACCATCATCCTCCGAATGGTTTGTTCCAATTGTTTCCCGGGCTTCCTCATTGTTGACTCCTTCCAAGTCCGTCTCACCTGTGTCAGACTCCGGGGAATCAATCTCCACCTCATCATCCTCGTCCTCGTTGCTCTGTTTTGTCTTCATTTGCGAGGGCATTGTTTTCGGAGTTGGTGTGGCTTCTTCTTTTTGCTCCGTGTCTTCTGGGTCACTCTTGTCATTCTCCTCCTCCTCCTCTTCCCCACGCCCTTCTGTGATCTCTTCTATTGAGTTTGCATGGATCAGAAGGGATTCTCGATCACCAGGATTGGTTGAGTCCAGGATTCTCTCCAACAAATCAAGTTGCGCTTCGGTGCGTATGATATCTTCCCTTTTACGTCGCTTGGCCTGCTCACTGTCCATTTCATTCTCCACTTCACTGGCTTCATCCTCATCATCTTCACAATCACTTTGTTCACATTCGCCATCTTCCTCACCCTCTTCACGGTCTAGCTCTTCCTGGTTCTTTTCAACACCTGCCTTTTGCTCTTCACATTCTTCACTGGCCCCATCTTCGTTGTCACTCTCGCTTTCCTCATTTGTTTTGCCTGCTTCATCCTGAGCCACCTCTGGCTCTTGTTGTGCTTCATCTTCATCTTCAGAGTCTTCGTCAGTTTGGTTTGTTGCATCGCCATTGTTGACCTCCTCTACCACACCTTCATCCTCCTCAGAACTTTGTTCTGCTTCATCCTCAGCTTCTTCTTCACTGACATTTGTTTTGTCCCTGGTGTTTGTCTCTTTCGTGTGCACCTTCTCTTCTGCACTGTTTCCTTCACTTTGTTCTGCTTCATCCTCAGCTTCTTCTTCACTGACATTTGTTCTGTCTCTGGTGTTTGTCTCTTTCGTGTGCACTTTCTCTTCTGCAATGCTTCCTTCATTTAGTTCATCCTCAGCTTCTTCTTCGCTGACATGTGTTCTGTCTCTGGTGTTTGTCTCGTTAGTGTGCACCTTCTCTTCTGCAATACTTCCTTCATCCTCAGATTCATTTGCCTCCATGCCATCATCTTCCTTTGCATCTTCGCTTTCATTTGCCTCACCAGCTTCCTGCTCCTGGTCTTCATCCACCATGCCATCCGTGTGATCCTGAGAGCAACAAACTCCAAAAAGGATAGTTCAGCTAGGAAGAGTGAAAGAACGTGAGCATATCGGTTTATGCCAAAACACCGGACCTAATGCAGGTGGGCTTAGATCAAACGTACACTAAGTGGCCATTGGTTTCCGAACCGAGGTTTCAATGGGGCTCAATAAAAACAATAAAAACTTTACACAAAGAAAAAAATACTAATATGACATGGCCGACGGCTTCTGCAGCATTTTCCGCGTTGTCAACTCCCCTGGACAAAACAATGTTTTCAAGGATTCTGTGATGAGGTTTTCCTTATTCCTTCAAGATCTTTTGAGGCATTTGTCAAAATATATGTTAGTTCGATTACCCTGACAGCCAAAATACAGACTCTCCATGTTGAACTCCGGGAAGGCATCACCACCACCAATATCCATCGGCAACGTCTCCATGTCATCAATGGATCCCATCGAAGAGCTTTTCCTCAGATGAGCAACATGGAAACATACAAATGACGGAACCTAGGCTTCCCCCATTCAGTAAAGTATCTGAGACTTATTGCTGGCCTTTGAGTCGGGTGATATGAACGTGAATCCGGATCGTTGCTGCTTCTGGTGCTGGTAGATAACTTGGTGGCATCGCAGTGCCTTAGATAGGTTGATGAGTTCCTCATGGTTGGGGATCACGATAAGGTTAACATTATGTCCGACAATAATATGAACAACATAGTTCTTGGAAGAAACTTGCTCGATGATCCATAGTTCAAGCTCTTCATCGTCCCGCCCAAAGCCTGGGAAGAACCAACAGAAGCACCCTTGAATAAAGAAACTGTTGCACCAATGAACCTTCACAAAACTAAGATAATAACGAAGCTTCTTTTTGTGCACCAATCTTCTAACAGCCTCTCTCACCTGCCCTTCCCGTGGAACACGACCTAGCCCTGCTCGCCCTGCATCTCTCCAGGCCGTGCGGAGCCACTGATTACCTTTCACCCTGATATCTCCACCAGGGATCAAGTCCATGGTTCTCTTAACTTCGGCTGGGTCTACCCGTTTGATCATTGCCTGTGACAATATCCTTAGTTCAACATTCCCACATTGTAGTTTCCAAAGAAACCATGCACCCAGCACAATCATGATCGATATTGATGTTAGATTGGTCCAAGTGTCTGCGCAGCATCTGTGAATGCACGCGGTTGCTTCCCCATCGCGAGCAACCGGAGGGAAAGAAGCAAGGTTGAGGTTGAAAACCTATCGATTGTACTCATAAATCGTGAATTGGATTGGTTGGAGGGTGCCATATGGTTGGTGTTCGGTTGAACTTATCAGAGGCCCTTACAAAATCACTGCATCATGCATACCACCGCTTCGAGCCCATCTTGCAGGCCGTGAGCCACGCAGTGGGGCCTCAGAACAAATAGTGTGAGAACCATGGTGACAACGTTGGGTTCCAATGATTTCAAGACTTGAAAATTAACAGGTCACTAGTAGTAACAGTGGCTAACAGGCTACTTCAAGGCACCTGTTGGAGGATGCTGGTATACATAAATGATCATAAATGTAAACATATAGCGGCCGTTCCCCGTTCCATTCAACCAGGCTGGACCGCTTCTCGTTTGAAAATGTTCTGTGTGTTCATCAAACATGAAACATAATCTCTTCTCACGTTCAGGGAACATGCTGTTTGCACCCCTGGCTCACTGGGCCAAACAGGGAAGATACGCAAATTGGTAGAACTATGTAGAGTTCATACTACTCCCCCGCTCATCATCACTTATTGTCCATCGCTGGAATTGCTAGCAGAAAGCCATGTAAACACTTTCAACGAACGCGAGGGTGCCTCGAAGGCTGGCCGAGGTCGGTTTGAGGTCCATCCCTTTGGCAGGCAAAGAATTGATGGCCGTGAAAAAGTATGGCGAGTGGGCGAAACACGAATGTCACTGACAACAGAGAGGATGGCGACAGGTATCATATCCCAGATGGCAGAAGCTTGGTACCGAGAGTGACAAAATATCTTAGAATGACAATGTCAGCGTTCCAAACTTGGATTTGACATGCAACCCAGGGCATAGAAGATGGCTTCAACGCAGCAGCTTCTGTTTTCACTTCCTTCTTGGGCACAAAGTCCGATGCCAAGATCAAAGCTACCCTGGAACGAAGTAGCAATGCCGAAGGAAGTTCTCCCAAACATCGCACAGGCCATGCAGGCCATGCACCACCAATCACGGAAGGTGCCCAAGTGGAACCAAGCTTACTGGGAGTGTCAAAGCCGCGCCTCGAACCGGTGAAATCACTTGATATTGAGCTGCCTCCATCATGGACTCTGCAAGCTGGTGAGGTGGGAACGGGAACAACATGTGGCCCTTGTTACTAGTAACTTCTAGCTACTAGTAGTAATGCCCTTGTTACTAGTAGCGATGCCCTTCTTACTGACTAGTAGCGATTTCTTGTTATCCAACTGGAAATCACTGGGGCCCAAATGTTCGACGCCCTTGTTCCCCTCGTTCAGGTGGTGGAAGTGAGAACTCGAGATCCAGAGGAGAACACTTGTACATACAAGTGGACAGCTTGGCATCCAGCTGCCACTCGGATTGAAAGTCATGGTAGAGGCGACTTCAACGCGCAGAAAGCCACTGGATTTTTGTCACACAGCATACACATCAATTGTGTCGAGTGTCCTAGCTACTTGCAGTTTGCACACTGTCAGTCTTGCACGCATCAATGGGAATGGCAAAGTATGCTGTAAGCTTTTGTGTGATCAGCAGGCGAGGGGGAGTCATCAATGTCTTTTCCAACATCAATTCCAGCAGGTTTTGGTCAGCTCAGGTCGTTGGTGATGATAGTTTCAGCGTCTTCTCCTTTGACGGTGAGCCCTTACGAGCACATGCTGTTCGCAGACCGAAAGGACAAGATCTTCTCCGTGTCAAGCAGACCACGTCGCTTCCACGGTTGGAACCTCAAGATAATCAAGCATGAACAGCAGCAGGAGGGACGATTTTATTCCAGCTTCGAGTGTGTATGATGGCGTTGAATAGACTTGGCACACTGAAGGGATCCTGAAGATTCTTCGTCTTTGGCCCGTCCCAATGTCAAAATGCTTCAGACTCAGATGCCCTCACCAGGCTTCAGGTACTGTATGTGAGAGTGGGACTTACCGAGGGGACTCTTGTGACTTCTAAACAGTTTCTCACCTGGGACCCTTTTTGGTTCCGGTGATGTTTGTTCCCCACTGATTAGTGCCACAGAATCGCTGGGCCTAAGGCATGGGGATACCTGTTTTGCAGCTTGCCGGTGCGACAGGCGCCTGGCAGAAATCCTTTTGTTCATTTTGCAGAATCTCTGATGCTTCTGTTCCTGGCAAGAAATGGCAGGCAAGAGAAGGCTTTCTATCAGTGGCTTGAAAGCTTGCCGTCAAGCTGCCAATTGGTTCTCTTGCAGGCAACTCGTTTGAGTGCGGGACGTTGCACTCGACAAAGAACAGTTGACGCCAGACATGCATGTTTAATCCGCCCTGATTCTCCACAGGTTGGAGCCAGCAACAACGAAGAAACAATGCGGGTACAACGAGCTGCTCAAGGTTTTGCTCAGAGCAAACTGATTCGAGACTTGCTTCTTTTGGACACTGTGGACATGGATTGACAGATAGTTGAGCCTCTCCTACTGTACTGTTGTATATGCATCGGAAGAAACCTGGGGAGTATTTCTTTGCGGTCGCCGTAGGGGTAAGCGAAGCCTGGCTGCATAACCGATAGGGCCTCCGATAGGGGCAGACCGGTTTACTAATACCCCTTGTATATGTGGTATACGGTATACTTTTGCTTTCATGTTGGCATATGTGGGAAGATGTGGGAAGTTCCTCTCGAGCCAGTTCCTTCTCAAGATGAAGGTTTCAAGGTTCGACTCAGTTTGTTGGGCGTTGGTGCTGGTCGACGTACAGAGAAGCTTTACACAGAACACTAATTCAACAGACCTTCGGGACTTGAGCGAGACTTTACCCATACCCCCTACGGATACCGACCGATACCCTACTTGTCGATTCTGCCCGGGCAGGCAGCCCCCCCACTTGCAAGCTCACTGATAGCCTTCTTGGCATTTACCTTTTGATAGGTTATGGGAAGTTAGATGCGAATCAGGGTTCGTACGGCAAGATATCTTTTCCTGTAGCTGGACATCAATTTATTATAAAGAATCCTACTACTCCCATGATCCATGTTTAAACAATTAAGGATTTCAAGTTTGAGTCTACATGAAAAAACAAGGAAGAACAGGATTCCATAAAACCCTCAAAACACTGGATTTTATATAGGACAACAATTTGAGGAGTTTCTAGGGAACCTCTAATCTACCAAAGAATGTAGGCCGGAGTGGACCCTAGAAAAAAAAAACAAGGTTGCAGGAAAATATGCTTGCGCACCAGACGGCGAAAGTGGGGGGGGCAGGACGGTGTGTTGGTATTTCAATTGTTTTCGTGGCTGTTGGTTCCTGTTGCCCCATTGCGGTGGAATGCTTGGTGTTGTTTGTTTTGAAGCTGCTCTCAATATCCATCCGTCCCAGTGCTTGAAAAGAAGGTGTTTAGCGCCTAATTAAAAAAATGGCAGTTGAGCACTAAACATTGTGCCCGAAGAAGAAAGACGCATAGAAGAAAGAAGAAGGACAGCTTTAAAATCCTTAGCATGCTTTCCTCGATGCTGCACAGAAAAATACAATATCGGGTTTGGGAAGTTCCGCGGAAATGCTCTCGTTGACCTTTTTGTTAAATGCTTTCAAGTAACCAGGACCATCAGGATTTAGTACAAAAAATTTGCACCTTAAAAGCGCCACTTCTCGTAAAGAACAATATATACGGAGACCGTGCGTGTTGCTGGGGAAATTTATACTATTCAGTCTTCCTGCCTGGCCTGGCGTACGAAGGGTGATGATGTGACCACAGAAGCTGAATCCAGTTTCTCGGCCCGACCCTTCCTGCCATCCTTGGCAGGAAACAAACCTTAGAACCCACTTGTCTTGCAGGATTGGCAGGCTTTCACGTTTGCGGCTGCTTTAATTTCAGGAAAGCAACTTTAGTCGGGTTGAGATCGAGGGGTTGGGCAGCAAAAATCGGCAGATCTCCCAAGAAAGTGGCCCGGCGCGATTTCCAAGTGCTGGTTACGTCCGTGGCAACAAGTCTTCTTCGATTCTATGTGCTCAACAAGCTTTTAGGCGGCCCTGCGCACACACAAACATGAGGCCGGATTCGCCCTCCCTCCCTACCTCCTACTCCTACTACTACTACTACTACTACTACTACTACTACTACTACTACTACTACTACTACCGCTAGCGTACACTAGCCACATATACTACTAGAATAATATCCATTATAATCCCCCTGGGAGTTGACACTAGAATCTGACATCCCAGGGTGTCTGTTTGGACAGGAGAGATTCCGTTCGGTTTTTCTACTACAAAATCAACCCTAGGTCTCCGACTGATCATCAAAAATCACAAAATCTCACCTGCTCAAGTGCGGCTGTTTGAAGCGTTTGTTGTTGTTGTTGTTGTTGTTGTTGTTGTTGATTTTGGAAGGTTGGCCCTGTTTTTTTTGCAAAGTCATGATTCACGGGAAACAACAATTGCAAACATATAGAATAATCATAACTCAGAATCTGGAACCTTCTAGACACCGTGACAGTTAAGACATGGAATTCGATACATGGATTATGTTTTAAGCAACGTGGATCATTCCACGTGTTGCAAACTTGGAAGCGCGCGGACAAACTCTACAAAAAAAGTTTCCCTGCAGGGTCAAACCATGTCAAATAAACACTCGAAACTATTCACTACAAATTATGCCTCAGAGCCTGTGAGGTCAGAATCTGTAGACCTCACAGGGTGTGCTCGCTTGAGGTTGGGTTGTCATGTTGTAACTTAAGTTGTAACTACACAAAAGAGACACCCCACCTTTTCCCGAACGCCCACACGGATACATGATATGTTGTGTATATATTGCGTATGTACACACCAGTTCTTTTGCATGCTCTTAGCGTCACTTGTAAAAACATTTCACATGTGAAAAATGTTTCATTTGCGTACAGGTCTCTCGAAATGTGCCCCAGAGATAAAAGCCTGCAGAGTCGATACCTTCACTTTGTGGAGTCTTGGAAAGCGCCAAACCTAGGGGCGCACGATGGCTCACGCAATTTGGGTATGGCATTTACGTTGAACACGGACATTTTCCGCCACTCACGTAGATGCATAGAAGTATTGTGAAAATAGTGAAATACAGGAACACTGTAGCGGTCAGCTATGGAATGTGGCATGCAGACACCGCGTAGACTAGATCTTGGCACTTTGTTATATGTTATTGTGTTCACCCCACACCTCTACCAAAGCATAGTGTAGTGCCGGGACTGTGTTGTGCGGATCTGGTTCATATTACAATCAGAAAGTGTCCATGGCACGTCATTGGCATCGGTGTCTTGAGGAATCGGCAGGGCACGGCCACCGAAGCATTGGGCTGGCCGGTGTGCTCATATTTTTCATGACACTGCTGCTGGGGTGCAGCAATTGGTTGAGGCTCTTGGCGAAGCGCCAGAGGAAGTGCAGGTTTCGGAAGGACCACAACTGCCCGAGCAAAACCGAAGGGCATCTGGGGCACCTGTGGTTTATCAACTGCCAGATGAAAGCGCACCAAGCTCCAAGAGCAGCGTGAGAGAGGAAACGAACAAGTCGAAACAGACACAAAGAGACTCTGACAATTTGATTCATTGGGATGAGCTCGATGCAATCGAGATCGAAGAAACTTATGTGCTTGGGCAATTTGTTGACTTTGCGGCTGGCATCTTTGCGGAGTCACAGGACCAGGAAGATTCGGGGCAGGAAGATTAACATTGACAGCCTCCTCGGGCCTCTATTTTTCATTGCGCATCTGAAGAAAGAACCACCTCATCGGGAGGATGCAAAATAATATCATGCAAAAGCGTAAACAAGGCTTGAGATGTTCGATGGACACTGCAAGGCAACTGTGGGCGGCCCATGTATGTTGTGCACCTGATGATAGGTGGGAATGGGAATGAAGCGAGCCTCGAGCCCCAAAATCTTTCAAGACCAGCCCAAAGACGTGGAGGTTCGGCTTGGCCAAGCTGGTGGCAATCGCAAGTCAGTCTGCAGCACCTCGCCGCTGGGCCAGGATTTGCATTGTCTTGATTTTTCAGGACTTTTTGCACCTTGAACGAGTTCGATCAATCGAACCGTAATTATTTCAGCCGTCCAATCGCACTCACATAAATCTACAAAATATATAAAATATATATATATAATATATATGTATATGTATAAACACATATATATTATATATTGTATACATATATATATATATCACAAAAGCCAGCCGGTAGGCTAGCTTGAGTTTCTTGCGCGAACGAAGTGAGTAAAGGGGGCGTGGGGGGGGGCGGTTGCGTGGTCGGTCACTTCCGGAGAGGTGAACCCAGAGCCTGGTGGGAGAGAGCGACAAAAAGAGGCGGGCCACTTGGTAGTGAAAACGAACTTGGGGGTGTTGTGACGCCAGCGATGTAATTGACGGCCAGTAGTGCATTATCATCATCATCATGAGGGGCTCAGGAGGCCATGTAAACTGTCTTTACTAGGGTGGGAGTTCACGTCGATGAGAGGAAAGCGAGACAAGGGGACGTGAAAAGCTGATTAGAAGTCACCGTATACTTGAGAGCAGGAAAGAGAACCCTTTTTCACCTCCACAGCGCCCCGACATCAAGACGAAAAAGGGCGCCCCGCCCCAAACCTATGTATTCTATTGCCTATTTCCAGTCTATCTCGAATGACGGCCATATCCACTTCACCACTTCCGTCCACTCTACCTATATACATATATGTATCCTCACGAAAGCCTGCCGATAGGCTCGCCCATAGGCTTCCCACAGTCATCTTTGCTCACTGATTAGAAACACGCAGCAAACTAATATAATATGTTTGAGGATTTTGAGGGGCGCCCTTTTTCATCTCCAAAACACTCCTCAACCAGAACGAAAAAGGGCGCCCCCCCTTTGTACTTCTATACCGTCTGTTTCTACCTCCTATCACGCACCGGCGATGCCAACTTCACCCCATACACGTACTCTTTACATAATGTTAGCCTATCACTTCATCTTCCACCCGCACATCGCTCCCATATCCACCTCACCACTTCCTGCTGCTCTTTTTCCATTCTACCTTGCACACTGATGTCTATATGGGGACCTCCTCACCTACCCTACCCTTTGCCTCGCACGTGCACCCCCGCCGCCGTCTCTGCTCCCTGGTTCGCAACACGCCGCCGGCAAAGGCCTCACCTGCTGAGGGGTGCCCTTTTTCATTTCAATATTCCCCCTAAAGAAGGACAGAAAAGCTCCGCCCCCCCCTGACCTACATCTTCTACTGTTCATTTCTACCCCCTCTGCCTGTGGCTGCGATGTCAACTTCGCACCACGAACTTTCTCTTTCCCCGATGGTGCCCCATCACTTCCTTTTGCTCGCCACGTCGTTGCCCGAGCCTACCCTAAGCTGGCTTTCGTCCCCTCCCCTCTCAGGTGTATATATATATATATATATACATATCCGTATTCACGCATATGTTGTTTCATCCCGAATGAATGCAGACACCTAAAAAAAAACAAATCGACGAACACTTACAGCCGGCTCTTAACAGAGCTTTGGGTGGGTCAAAAGCTGCGTTGCGACCAGAATTCAGTTTTTGCTGGGCTATGTTGTTCACACCCTCACTTGTATATGCCAACCAACAAGCGGCAACAGTTTGAAAAACGCTGGGCCCTGGGCATGAACAGAAGAAACAACCTTAGTTGAAAGCTGCAGAATAGATCTTGAACAAGACTCCGCCTTGCGCGTCTCAAGCAAGCGGAGATTGCAGGCTCGTATTTGGGGTTTGTGCAGAGGAGGGGGATTCAAGACTTTACTTTTGTTGCCTGTTGGCCACCGGAGAAGCCGGTAAAGTGTCGTCTTGTTTTTTCCAACAGCGCCCCGTGCTCCTAATAGCGATGCCAGGAGCCCCTAGTAATATATAGTAGTTTCTTATTCCTAGTAGTAAGGCCAGGAACCCCTAGTAGCGTCCTTGCTCCTAGTAGCGATGCCAGGAGCCTTGCTTCCATGTTCAATGTTTGCTGGGAGAGTAGGAAATGGGAGATGCTGTTGGGAAGACGGGTTCGCTGGCGAGGTTTACAAAAGATTGCGAGTGTTTTGCCTTTACAGGTGGGTTAGTTACAGTAAGACTTGAACTTTCAAAACTGATGTTATATATGTATGTTTATGATCTCCAGTGATGCTGGTAATGCATCCCACAGCGTTTAGCATTACTGGACTTGCTGTTTGAAAACAATGATGACACATGGGTGAGTTGGGAGATTGGATGATGATGACAGGCGGATAGAAGCGCTGAAGCAGCCACCAAGGTTATATGCAGGATATCATACGTTGGGGACCGGGCAAAAATATGTCATGTGGGAAGCTGCGACCCAGGTAAACCAGAGTCAGAGGAAAGCTAGACGCAGGAGGCAAATCAAGTGACTCCAGCTCTACCGATCACTGGCTGAGCTGGCTCCATGCCGAAGACCGAATTGGAGAAAGCTTCCGGCCACAAGAGATGCTCGGAACTGTGCTATGCCAATCCAATCAAGACAAGAAGGCTCAGGAGCAGACGGTCCTGCCTTTGTATTGGTTCAAGAACACGAGGATTTTTCTGTGGGCTCCGTGCCTGAATTTTGATCCATGCTGGAAGGCGTGCTAGTGGCCCATCATACCGGTGAATGCACACTCTCATGTTTGAACGGCATTGTCGGCCACTCATGAAAGGCTGGAGAAAATAGTTGCATTTTTGTGCCTCGGTCTTTACACGATTACAAGAAATCTGCTTCTGCTGAACGGCCCTCCTTGGAGATCACTGCATGGGAGCATTGGATTGGAGCTTGATCGAGCACACCGATTTCCTTTGACCACTGGTTGCAATGTTTACTTGCGATGTAATTCAAATCTGCATACTTTGGAAGTGTGTTGCACACTATAGCAGAGCTTTTGAAGCTTGCGGCAGATAAACAATGATAAAGACATAGGGAACGGCCCAGAAAAATCTGGAGGTAATGACTGAGGCGCTAGAAGCAACGGTGCCTTGCGTGCTGGCAGACATGGCGAGCGGGCGACTGCTTCCGCAATCGCTGCGGTGGTCAAGCGAGGAGTGGAAAAAGAGGCAAATCTCGATGTGAAATGGAAGCAACATGAAGCGACCCTAGTTCAATCTATTTGACCCCTAAATATGAACAAACCTTGACTATCAAGCAAGCCAACGTACTCTAGTTTCGGGGTGCTAGGTTTTGACCCACATCCAAGTATGACCATGGGTTGAAGAAATTGGAAGAATTCCTGTTCTCCGCCACACAGCTTGCTGAGGCTAAAGCACATAAAGCCGTTGGAGCCTTTTGTTTGCTCTGCATGAAGCAGCGTGAAGCGATCCCATCGCAGATGAACATGGGCCAATAATGATCCAAGAAGTACCACAGAGGTTAAGCCTTAAGTGTCCTTCAAGGATCAACAACTTACGACCTGTCAGAGAGCTGTCAGCACAGGTTTCCCTTGGTTACCCTGTTGCGAAGTGAATGAGTAGTGGCTTTTGTTGACTCAAGATCACTCAAGATCTTGGTAAGTTCAGTTATGATGTCAACAGTGGACATGCAAACCAGCACGGCATAGCACGGCTGGCCACCGTGCAGCTTATGGCGTTTGCTTATGGCCAGCTTCAACACTGTATTGCATCGAACACAGGACTGGACGCGAAGCAAAAGCCGCACATGACATGAGTTGAGTTCACTTTTGACCATGAAGGGTTTGTACATGTTTGTACTATATGCACGGATTGACTTGAAAAAGGGATATCAATTGCTCAGTTGCAACTGCAAGTCATCCGAAACTACACGGGCCGCTGGGACACAAACTCTTCAAAACTCACCTGCGACCGAATCTGGTATGCTTAAACTTGACATAAGCAGGCCGTACTTAGCATGTTAGAGGTAAGATAGCTCCCATGTGGCAAAAGCTCTACTCACATAGTCTCGACCGAAAGTGTGCCATGTCTCTACAGACACCTGACTAAATTTCACAAACTTTCAACGTGTGGGAGGGCTCTAAAATCGGTTTTGCAATTCTCTCCATCAGATTCCAAGCGGTAGTTAAAGAGACCTCGGACGTCTTTGAGCAGCCTTTTTAGTTGAATATGTTGACAGAACCGGAATATCATGTTGAACATGCATTACTCTCTGTCGTTCCACAGCTTAGCAGCTCGCAAGAGGTTGCTTGCTTACGATGTACTTGGTCAGCACCCCTCCAGTCACTTGCAAGGACGAGGCCACGCAGAATCTGCTGGGAACTGCCGGCATCCGGAGTCCAAAGTGATGCGTTCGGAAGTGGTGGCTGTGGCAGCTTTGTCAAGGTTGATACCCCACTACCGCCACCCCAGCCACCACCCTCAGGCACCACAAAGTGTTCTGGTTTGTGTTCCTGGTCTTCAACTTGCTCCGTTGTGTGCGGAAAGCACAAACCTTTATTGGCAACGTTGGGGTTCGTTCGCAGGCCCATCGCAGCTTGGTCCGAGCGTGTTCTTGCCCCAGATTGCAGACTTCATTGATTTCATTGCAGACTTGGGCTTTTGGGCCAAGGTCAAATGGAGCACCCATCCCTCCTGCACTGGAGGTGAAATCCCAAGAGGTGCAAAACGTCCCTTCTCGGTGAGTGCCATGAGGTCACAGCTCCCATCGGCTCGGCTCAGGCGTCACCTTTGCCCTTTGCTCCTAGTAGCTTGTTGCTCCTAGTAGCTTTGCATGTAAACCAGCCTA